GCTCCAGCCTGGGGACCTGGTGTACATGTTAGCGGCTTTTGGGAAGCCTAAATTGGTGGGCTGGCTTTGGGGATCAAGTTTAGTTATAAGTAGGGTCCATGTGCACATAGATGATCTACACAGGCGCCATGCATTTAAGCAGAATGTACTGAGCTGTGTGGATTCAGCCAGGTGAATATTTAGCGTCCAGTAGCCCACAGTGGCTGAGGGGCTATGCAGACCAATAGTGGCAAATTGTGTGGGACAGCCAGAGGACCTAAGTAGTGGTGCAGAGATGGGAGCGATTTTCTCTGCAGATTTCCAAAGCAGAGTTTTGGGGGGTGTTGGGGGCTCTGACAACAGAGGACAGGTCTCCTACGTTAGAACATCCATGGGGGAAGGGATCTGGCCCTGGCTTTGAGCTGGAGAAGGACCCTGGGTGTTGAGAGGTGGACAGGTGCACACCCTCCACCAGGGCAGAAGCCCATGAGCCAGGCCAGGTTGCCCAGGGACTCGGGTGCCTAGGAGGAGCCCATGACACATAGGAGGGCGCTACTGTGGCAGCTCTGTGGGGAGCACCCAGCTCTGGAGCCTGGGGAGAGAGGGACTCCCACTCCTCTCACAGCTGAGGTCCCTTGCAGCTTAGGGTGGAAATGAAATCATTAACTGGCTCATAAGACATTTTGCTCTGTTCGTGATTGACCCAAGGAGGGGAGTTTGGGGACAAATATGCCTCCTCTACCTGTGTTACAGGGGGACTGAGCCACGGTAAATTAAAAGAAAATCACTGGCAAATTTGGGACCAGCGAGCTGTGACCAAGCCATTTGTGTAGTTAAATGGAGCTGAAAGAGCTAATAAAGGCTTTGTGGGTCACGGATCCCCCGTGTGAGGGCCGGGTTGTGGGAGGCCGGGGAGCTGGCCCAGGCCTGCAGCAGGGACTTCCTGTGGCGGTGGCGACAGCGACTGGGAGGGGAGGGGTCTGAGATGGCCTTTGTGGGTGTGTCCCTTCCCAGTGTTAAACCTAGATACGGACAGGGACCCAAGCGCAGTCCCAGCTTCCAGTGTGTCCTACAAAACAGCCTCCAAGCACAGCCCAGCCCCGGGGACACCAGGGTGGGGGCAGGGGTGGTGGCAGGGTGTTCCCATCAGCCAGGGGGCAGGCACTTCTTGAGGGGCTGGGGGTTCAGTGCAGAGGGGACTGATGGAGGAAGCAGATCGGAGTTGCCATGATGAACCGTGTGGGGTTGTGCAGCTCTGCAGGGGGGAGGCACTGCCCGGGTAGGGTGTTCACTGAGGGGTGCTGCCTCGCGGGAGCTGGCTGTGCACCTAGCTAGGGCCAGTCCACCCTGGAGGGACTGGCTGCCTACCGGGCGCTCAGCGTGAGGCTGCCGGCTGGGGCAGGTGTGCGCCCCAGCGCATCCGGGTAGCAGCAGGTGGAGCCGAAGAAGTGTCTGGACACCACGTCGGAGCGCTGCTTCTGTTTCGGCCTTTCTCATCTCTGTCCAGTGGACCTCACTCCGCCGCCAAGGTGAGCTGCCTTCCAGAGCCGGGGAGGAAACGCACCCGAAGGGACGCCAGGCGCCTGCGCCGCACAACCAGACGCTTGTTCGACACGTTTTCCAATTACTCCGCAGCCTCCGCGGCGATGCTCAAAATTCATTTTCCGTCCTGAGAGGGCGAAAACAAAGGCAAGAGGAAGCCGCAGCTGCAGCCTGGCGAGTGGAGAGCCTCGCAGAAGCCAGGCCGGGGGCCCGGGCCGCCCTCCACATCTCCTCCAGCCCTGCTCTGTCAGCTCTGCTCCAGGCCTGGGCCCAGGGACGCAGCCCCTCCAGGAAGATGGAGGCGGGGCCCTGGTGGAGTGGGGAAGGACTTGCGAGATTTGGACGTGGAGAGGGCAAACTCGGGTGGTGGATTAGTGGAGAAGGTGTGGGCCCCAGACTTCTTTTTATCATTAACTTTCAACGTTTATTTTTTTTCCCTAATTTTTATTTATTATTTACTTGAAAGCCAGAGAGAGAATGAGAGAGTCAGACAGCGAGACTGCTCTCATCTGCTGGTTTACTTCCTAAATACTTGGGCCAAGCCAAAGCCAAGAGCTTGGAACTCTATCCAGGTCTCCTACATGAACCCAAATGACAGGGACCCAAATACTTTTTTTAAAAAAGACTTATTTATTTGAAAGTAAAAGTTACACACAGAGAGGAAGAGAGGCAGAGAAGAGAGAGAGGTCTTCCATCCGATGATTCACTCCCCAATTGGCTGCAATGGCCAGAGCTGCGCCGATCCGAAGCCAGGAGCCAGGAGCTTCTTCCAGGTCTCCCACGTGGGTGCAGGGACCCAAGGACTTGGGCCATCCTCTACTGATTTTCTAGGCCATAGCAGAGAGCTGGATTGGAAGTGGAGCAGCTGAGTCTCGAACTGGAGCCCCTATGGGTTGCTGGTGCTTCAGGCCAGGGTGTTAACCTGCTGTGCCACAGTGCTGGCCCTAAGGGACCCAAGTACTTATGCCCTTACTGATTGCCTCCCAGGATGTGCGTTAGCAGGAAGCTGGAATGGAACATGAAGCCGGCCCTCGAAGCCAGGCACTCCAATAAAATGTGCAGGTGTCCCGGGCTCTGTCTTAACCACCCCTGCCTCAGACACTCTTGGCACATCCACTGTGCCGGTTAATCACCTGTTTCTCTACCTGTGCCCTGTCTGCTGTGCTAGGAGGGGAGTCCTGGAGGACCCAGCCAGGCTCTGTGTTTCACAGCCGTTTGTTTGCCCAGCGCCCTTGAACCATGCCTGGTGTGGGTGCTCAGCCCATGTGGCCTAGGAAAAAAGTGCTGCATCTCAGCACCCCGAGTCTGGGCCTTGAGGGTTTTTGCTGCTATTTTGCTGGTGTTCGCATCAGTTCTGGGGCCTCCTCCGCCCTTTCTGGGTTCCCACTTCTGTGTCTTCCAGGGGTTCCTCTGTGGACTGGCCTGGAGGTGCTGCAGAGGGAGGTGGAATGGTTCATGTGGGGAAGGCCTGGTGCATGAGAAGGGCAGAGGGCAGGTGTGGCTGTCCCTACCTCGTAGGCTGTGGAAGGAAGGCCCAATGAGAGACAGCATGTAGCAGATGTGTAGCAGAGAGGACACAGTTGCTAACAGTGAGTGCCCAAAGGAGCTGTTTCTGATACACACGCTTTGCAATGTGACAGCCAAGATGGAAGTTTCTAGACTTAGATGGCTTGGGCTGGAACCCTGGCCCTCTCAGGTGTCTGTGTGACCTTGAGTAAGCTGCTTATCCTGCCTGAATTCAGCTGCCTAGAATCCTTGTGAGTTCAAGTGTGGCAACTCCTGTCCAGGGTGCAGAGCGTGCCTAGCACTGGGTGCACCTGAGCCTGGGGCCGTTAGTTACAGTGGTTCTTCACCCCAGAAGAGGTGCCAGGCTTCTAGCAGAGATCATCACTGGTTAGCCTCACACGCATAAAGTTCCTATGCCTCTCCCTGGATGAGTTGGTGACCTGCTTGCTCTGTAAAGAAAGGCTCCGTGGGAAGGAGCTGGCACTGTGGTGTAGCGGGTAAAGCCGCCGCCTGCAGTGCCGGCATTCCACATGGGCACCGGTTCAAGTCCCAGCTGCTCCACTTCCCATCCAGCTCTCTGTTATGGCCTGGGAAAGCAGTGGAAGATGGCCCAGTCTTTGGGCCCCTGCACCCACATGGGAGACTCCTTTGGATTGGCACAGCTCTGGCTGTTGTGGCTAATTGGGGAGTGAACCAGCAGATGGAAGATCTCCCTCTCTCTCTTCCTCTTTCTGCCTCTCCTTCTCTCTGTGTGACTCTGACTTTCAAATAAATAAATGAAATCTTTAAAAAAATAAAAAACCCACTATATTAAAAAAAGAAAGGCTCAGTGGGTGCCCCCTAGGAGTTTGCGCTGGAAGGTGAAGGATTTCGGTATCTGCAGAGATGCTGAGGAAGCATGAGTTGAGGAAAAATAAGAATGTTAGGTGTGCAGTTGGGAGCCGGTGCTGGAGTAGTGTGGCCTTAAGGAAGACATAGTAGAACAGAGTCCCCTCTCCATGGGCTCTGAAGGGGACTGGCTGGACACAGGACACCTTGCACCCTGGGTCTGTTTGCCAACTGAGGAGCGGCTGCCCTGGACCTGGACTAGGACGAGGGTGGCGTGGCCCTCTGTGGCCAGCAGATGATGCTGTTGATCCAGCAGTGCCAGCTGCTGGGCCCTAAGCTGGTGCCTCCAGCACAGTGTTCAACCCCAGGCTTCTGATTGCTCATTTTCCACCAAGTACAATGTGCACAAACCACCATGCTCTCCCACAAGCAAGTTCCTGCAGCCGGCTTTGTAGTTGTCCTCTGAGGGGGACTTTCCTCCACCTGCCCAGGCAGAGTGGGTGCCAGACTGGGGTGTCAGCACTGGACAGTGGATCTTCCGTTACTGGGAGGAGGGACTGTGCTCTGTCCTATACTGGGGCAGTGGGTTGGCCTGGCCACTCCCCAGAGCCACACAGCAGGCAGAGGCCTCTGGATCCATCCAAGTGCCCTCTGAGAAGGGTGGAACAGGGGGGACATGCAGACAAAGAGGCATCACTGTGAATCGGAGTCTGGTGGCGTCAGAACCCCCTTTGGGGACCAAAGTTCTGCTGTCAGCTTTCCTGGCTTGCTACCGATGCAGGTCATCAAACATCACCCTCATTCTCTGGACTGAAAGGCTTGTGACAGAGTCCAGGAGCCCGAGTGCCTGTTGGTCCCGTCCGGGTGACTCTGCGCAGCCCTCAGATCAGTGTCCAGGTTCTCAGAAGCAAAACTGCAGTTCTTTGTTAGTGCCTTCTCTCTCTCTGTCTCTCCCTCTCTTCTGTCTGTAACTGCTTCCCAAATAAGTAAATAAGTCTTTTTAAGAAATCCACCAGCTCCACTTATAAAAAAAAGAAACACCCCACAACCGAGATGTAGCATAGTCATGGCCAAGATCACTGGACAGGGGTACAGTAGGGAAGATGCTAAGGTTTGACTGACGCCTTTGCTTCTTCCTGTTGCAGGTCCAGTCAAGACCATGATGTCAGACCATCTTTGGCCCTGTGCAGTCCTCTGTGGCCTCCCTGCTGTCTTGTCCTCACGTTGGCTTTGTGCAGCAGCTCCAAGGGGTCCTGAGCTTGGGAGCTACCCAGTGCTTGGAACGTAGTAGGTTGTGCTGAATGAATCAAAGCTTGGATTGGCTGTGTGACCTTGCGTAAGCCACTTGTCCTCCCTGGGATTACAGGTGAAACAGGATAAATAACTGTGTGCGTCGCATCCAGCAGGGTCTGAGTGTGGCTGTGGCTAGGATGCTCTGACAGAATGGGCATTTTTCTTCCCTTGGAGGAAGTTTTCAGTCTGAGCATTTCTTACCCTCTGTGTTGAAGGAGCAGGGAGAAGGTGCCATGGGAATAAGGCCAATGAACAAACTTAAACTCTTGCAATGCAGAAATGCCCCGTCTTGTCTTCCACAACAGAAGGGAAGAGAGCCACAGTGCTGGCCAAGCTTGCCCCTCTACCAAGCCCCTGAGTCCGAGTCCTCTCCCAACTCCCTCCCCAGCAGTTTCAAAGCTTTGCATCAGCAAGTTCACTTTAGATGAATAGTCCACTGCCTTCCTCCATAAGCAGTCAGTGCCAGGGACTTCCCAGGGGATATTTAATATTATTGTTATGTGCATTTGGAAGACAAAGAGAGAGAGTACGTGAGAGAGCGAGAGCTCCCATACTCTGGTTCATTCCCCAAATGCCTGTAATGCATGGGTCTGCACCAGGCCAAAGGTGAGAGCAAAGAATTCAGTCTGGGTCTCCCACATGGGTGGCAGGGGCTCAGCTCAACTGCTTGGGCCATCACGTGCTGCCTCCCCTGGTGCAGAGCTGGGATTGGGACCCAGGCTCTCCACTATGGGGTGCAGGCATCCCAAGCAGTGTTTTAACCACTACAGCAAACTCCCATCTCTTAGAGTCATTTTAGATAACTAGAGACCAACTCCTGTGTTCACCTAACCCCTCTGCAATGCCCTAATGAACTCTCCTGTGTGTTTTGAGCATGTCACTCACCCTTGAAGGCCAAGGTCAAATGCCACCTCCTCTGTGAGTTGTTTCTTCTTTCTCCTTGCCCCTCATTCTCTAATGAAAGTCAAGTGTATTTCCACATCTCACTATCTACATAGTTAGCATATTTCTTTTTCATATTATATTTTTAAGTAGTTTTCCCCCACCTGTAGACCTGTCAGACAGACTTTAGGCTGAGGTCTGGGTCTTGTCAGGCTCAAAGGATGAACTGATTCAGAACAGCCTAAACCAGCGCGGTGAGATGGCAGCCACTTTGCCGGGCGTGTTCTCAGATCCTGGCTGAAACCTCATCCTACCTGCATTCCTAGTTCCTCCATCTTCCCGTGCTCCCCTCCCCAGCAGTTTCCACACACTCTCATCTGCCAGGAACTGCTTCCTTCCTGAATGCAACTTTGTCCTGAGTGTGACAAGGACCTTCTGAAAGGAACCCTGGCTGTAGAAAGCAGCTCTCCAGAGACCGCTCAGATGGAAGCTCCTCTAGCAACGAACAGCTTCACGGTCATTTCTTTGGGTTTACTGTTTATTGTTATTACTGAACCCAAAGGGCCTTTTGGGGGATACATAGAATGGGCACAAAGCTCTTTCAGAATCTCTTGCCTTGGGCTTCTTCTCGCTCTCTCTGCCTCTTCGCCATGTATTTCCATTTATCTCTCATCTATCTACATGTTTACCTATCATCTCTCTATCTTCTATCAAATATCTTCATCATCGTTATCATCATCTGTCCACCTACTTACCTACTATCTCTAACTTCTTTCTATCCACCCATCCATCCATCATCATCCGTCACTTATCTAGTGTCTGTCTCTTTATCTTTCTATCTTTCCACTAATTTCACCTACAATATCATAATCACCTTCAGCCTGCTAATTACATGGCCAAGAACAAACTGTGACCCATTCTTCAAGAGCAGAGCACAAAGAGTCACGGAAGGTGTATTTGCCACTCAAACATCTGCGTTTGGCAAGGGAGGGGCTCTCCCACCAGTGCACTGTGAGCCTGATGCATGGTGGCTACATGGCTGTGATCCCTTGAGAATGAGCCTGGTTTCTCTCTATTCTTCCAACCTAGGGTGACTGTGCCCAGACGTGAGTGGCTGCAGAGGAGATGGCTTCCTTGGTCACTGTAGGATGTCTTTGACCATAGGCACACACAGTCTTTGTATCATGGTAGCCCCGAGTTGCAGTTACTCAGAATGTAGTTTTCATATGGTGTAAGGCTATGCCACCCTGAATGTGTGCAGTCTCATCTGATTTCAGATGCCAAGCAGCATTGGGCCTGATTAGTACTTGGATGGGAGATGTTCATTTGGTTGAAAGAACATTGAACTCGAGGTCTCAGCTCTTTTATTTCCTAGATACGTAATCAAGGGCAAGTGGCTTAATCTCTCTGAGACTCATTTAAAAGAGAATATATGTAGTGTGTGTGTGTGTGTGTGTGTGTGTGTATTTTGAAAGATTCATGGGAAGTGGAATTAAAAGATAAGCTTAGTTTGGAGCAAATAATTTTAGATATCCATGCATCTGAGGAGTCTTCAAAAAGTTCATGGAAAATGTGTCTTATGAAAAAATTATGTGCGGATTTCAATTTTTTTTGCATCAAAATAACCTTATTTTAAATTCTATTTTAGATGAATTTTTTGAAGTACCCTCATATGTGTGTGTGTGTGTGTGTAAAACTATTGAATGAGCTGGTGAAATCTACTTGCCTATATCTCTCATCTCTATGAACTATTGATTTGTGCCCTATTTTTAGGATGATTGAAAGATTATGTAAAATGAAAATTCTGGGTGCACTCTGAAAACTGCCGAGTACAACGTGAGTGATCCCATGAGGATGAGGACTGTGTGTCCCCTGTTCATCGCTGTGGCTCCAGCACCCGATGTGGTACCTGGGTGTGTAGGTGTTTTAAGAGAGTACATGGAGATTTCTCAGAAACATGTGAGATGGACACTGGGCTGTGTGAACCTGGTGAGTGATACGAGAGAGAACGTGGGCTTAGAGTCTGCTTTTCTTTCCAGGAGATGCCGAGGGCAGCCAGGGAGAGAGACTTGGTTGTAGCTCGGTTGCTGGGAGTCACATACATCCACAGAACAGATCCAGCCCTTCTTTCGGCTGTGCCGGCATAGACTGACTGGCATTGCAAGCAATAGACAGAAAGCCAGATAAGCTGTGGAGGGGTGATGCTAAAAGAAAAACAGGGGTCCTTGAAGAGTGGTATTTGATAGCAAATAACAGAGCACAAGACTGACAGAGGCTAACCAGTCGAGCCACATGCTCATTTCACGCCATAGCTCCTCGGGTGAGGCTGAGTGTGTGGGGATGATACCAGGGCTGGCAGCTCCTTGTCTCTTCCGTGTACTTTGCACGCCTGTTCTGTCTGCTCACAGGTGAGGCACCATGCACCACATCAGCACACAACACATCCCAAGCTAGGGGCAAGGGGAGGTGTGCTGGAATCTTGTCTTTGGGAGGCTGTCTCTGTTCAGGTGCCAGGAGACATTTCCAGGTAGGCTTCAGCAGCATGGACCCCCTCCAACTCTGGACAGCAATGGCCCAGGGAGATTCAGGTCTCAATGACTGGCTTCCACTAGTGCCGATTCATCTTTGGGAGCGGGTAGGAAGATGGGAATCTGTTACAAGAAAGAGCAGAGGAAATGACTGGTGGGGGCAGCTAATGGCCTCTACTGCCAGGCCTGGGAAGGAAGAGGATTCTGTGGCAGTGGTCGCTCCAGCAGGAGATGGGGGATACGCTAGGAGAGAAGCTTATTCCATGCCCCATTGGGATGCTGAGTGTCTGCCTGTGGCCGCAGGGGGACGGGGGTTGGGCCCTTCCTCCAGCTGCGGGAGTCCCTTGTTCTGTGAATTTTTTTTTCTGTTTTAAAGGATCATCCTATTTGTTGGGCCTAATCACAGAGGTAATGCTAATCTGATGATGGTGATAATGATGACATTTAGAATCATCGCGTGGGCGTTTTCTGAGTGTTCGCAGTGTGCTCCATTGTATCCCTCCATCCTCTACAGTCTCATGACAGGTGCTTCCCAGACCCATGTCTCACAGATGTTGAGACTGAGACATGGGGGACCAGGGTACAGGAGCAAGAGCACATAGATTATCTATGGGGGAGCCGGGGTTTAGCACATGTTGGCCTAGCTCCCAAGCTGTGCCTCTGACCATTGACCTGCCTGGTGCTGACTGAGGTTATTGTGAGGATGGCGTGGAGCAGGAACAATTACTACTGCTCTGTGCTGAGCAACTTTCATTTGCAGTGGGTAAAAGAAGGTCCCGGTTTGAGCATTTGGTCTAGTGGTGAAGACACCCACATCCCTCATGGGAACACCTGGATTTGAATCCTGCCTCTGGCTCCTGACTCCAGCTTCCTGTTAATGTGGACCTTTGGAGGCAGTGATGATGGTTCATGGAGTTGGGGTCCCGCCACCCATGTGGCAGGCCTGGAGTGAGTCACTAGCCTTCAGTCTGGAACAGTTGCACGTATTTGGGGAGTGAACCAGAAAATGGATATGTTTCTCCTTCTTTCTCTCTCTCTCAAAAAATACAAAAAAGGACAATCCCTGCTCCTATATTCTAGCGCGGACAGGGCTGGACAGGAAGTAGATTTATAGATAGTTGCCTGATTGTTAGGTAGATAGTTGATAACTAGAAGGCTGGTGGTGCTTTCTGCTTTGAAATATAGTAAAGTGTGTGTATGGAGGAGAATGAGTGAATATGTCAATCATGGGACTGGCATTGTGACCCTACGTGTTAAGCCACCATCTGTGCTGCCAGTATCCCATATGAGTGCTGGTCTGAGTCCTGGCTGCTCCACTTCTGATCTAGTTCCCTGTTAATGCACCTGGGAAGGCAGCAGAGGATGGACCAAGTGCTTGGGCTCCTGACAGCCACATGGGAGACCCATCTGGAGCTCCAGATTCATGGTTTCTGCCTGGCCCAGTCCCGGCCATTGTAGCCATTTGGATAGTGAACCAGTGGATGGAAGATCTCTCTCTCTCTCTCTCTTTCTCTCTCTCTGTAATGCTGCAGAGGGACCCGTACTTGCTGTAGCCCTGAGGACCGAGTGGGCTGGGCCCCACCAGGATATGGCCTGCTATGTCTGGGCAGAGCGAACCGGAAGGAAGGTGGGCAGGAGGCGGCAGCATGAGCTGAGATACTGAGTCCCTTGGACAAGGCTGCAGAGCTAACTGGGGGAGCGAGGAGGCCAGGGAGGGAGGTGGCGTGAGGCCAGGCAAGTAGGGAGGCTCTGATGAGGGCCACAGTCTGCATTTGTCCATCAGGTGGACATTTGAGGTGGCAGCAGGATGACATGGCCAGTTTCGCCTCTCTGACAGTCCCTGCTGGTCTCTCTGAGTTAGTTTTCTCAGCTATAAAATGAGATCAGTGCCACCAAACCTCATCAGATATTGAAAGGATCAACTGAATTATTTTTTGCATTTTTGTTTAAATTTCTAAGAGATAGAGGGTAGGAGGAAGAGAGAGGGCAAGGAAAAGGAGAGGAAGTCTCCCGGCAACTTGTTCATTCCCCAAATGCCTAGGCTGAGTCAGGCTGGAAACAGGAGCTGGGAACTCCATCTGGGTGTCCCACCTGGGTATGAGGTATATAAGTTATTGAGTCATCACCCAGTGCCTTCCAGGGTGTGTATTAGGAGGAAGCTGGAATCAGGAACAGAATTGGGACTCAAACACAGCTATCCTGATATGGGATACAGGAGTCCCAAGTGGTATTTTAATTGCGATGATGTGCACCATTAATGCAGGCTGCTATGATAATAATTTGGCCCCCTTCCTCTCTGTTGTATGGATTCCCATCTGTACAGACTACAGCCTAGATAACTGTCTCAGAACTTGAAGATAACTAAATGATCGCACCCAACCCTCATGCCCCATTCTGAATGGTTGAAATTATTATTTTTCCTGTTGAACAGCAATGGAAACAAGCTTAGGGAATTGAGAGAGGCTAATGCACACAGCTAGTGGGTGTGGGAGATGGGCTTCTACTAGGACCTTCTGATGGTAAATCCAGTTCTCAGAGGATGGTGTTTGTGGGCTCAGGCTGAGGGAGGACAAGGTTCAGAGTCACAGCTGGGTTGGATGTAAGCACAAGTGGACAACAACCCTTGTTATGGTCATGTGCACAGTCCTTCGGGAATGATCCTGTCCAGATTAGCTTGCATTAGACGGTGCACCCAGGAGGGTGCTAGCTACAACATGGAAAGCTTGGGGGAAGCAACGTGATGTCATAACACACCAGCTGAGGGCAATTAAATACGGATGACGAAAGGGCAGCGTTGTTCAGCTGAGATCCAAGAGCCTCCCTGCCACTAGATCAGGGTGCAGGGTTGGGAGGGTGCAGGCAGGGGCAAAACTGCCAGGAGAAGTCCCCGTGCCCACCCCTTCAACAGCAGTTCTCAGGAAAGAGCGGGCGCTGGGTCCTGGGATTTCTCCTGAACCTCGTGCTCCCATGCCCTGATGCTTCGAGCCCCTAGGGTTCCTGGAAAGCTGCGAACCCCTGGGGCTCCCTGGTTTTGGAAGCAGCAGAGGGTCAGGAAATTCTGGAAGTGTCCACCACCTGATGGGCAGCTTAGCCAAGAGTGTGTCCACAGGGGCCCCTTGGAGGCAGCCGGCAGCCTCCGCGCTAAGACTCTCGGCGCAGTCTCCAAGTTGGCAGAGACAGGAGTTCTGCAGTCTTTACCATTTCTCCCTTGGCCAACCGTGCCCTGCTGACAAGGAGGCTGGATGATTCCTCTCGTTCATTCTTCATCTCCTGCCCTGGGCTTCAGCTGTTCTCGGAAAAGCTCCTTGCTGCTGAGTTCGTATGCTTGTGGGAAACAGAAGCGAGTGAGTCCGGAGTCAGGCTGAAGAGAAGAAGGAAGAAGGAAGGAAAGCAGTGTAGGAGTCCGGCCGGCCACGGCTCCGGAGGAGGCATCCCGGGTGTGCCTCTATCAGCATTATCATGCAATATTCCCAGCCTGCTTTGTCTTTGCTTTGCATTTTATCAATACCAGCGGCAGATCTTGCTGTCCCTTTCTGTGAGTTTATTAATATTGCCCTCTGATCTATTGGTAGCTGCCACATTTTATATTCTAGCCCCATCCCAGCTTCTCCAAACTCAGACACCATATTTAATTAGATTTTCTCTCTGGCTCAGGCAAACAGAAATTGAACTCCCAGTATATCTCTATTGCTTCGGAGCTCACGCCCGACAGAAGCAGACAGCTCTCTTTCCCTCTGCGGCGTTCTCTGCTTCTTCCCCTCCGTCCCCACCTCTGACATTAATATTCCGGCACAAGCCCACTTCCAACTTCAGTCTTTGGCCCCAAGCTCTGAAATCCATTCGCACGTTACTGCTGTCATTCAAATGAGCCCTGTGCCAGAGGATTTTGCGGCTCAAACTTTTTTTTTCTATTTTCTCCAGTTTGGGGCTGGCCCCGCATGCTGCTGGCAGGTGGCGTGGAGAGTGGAGGAGACAGAACAGGGTGGAGAGTCTCTCAATCTGTACAGCAGCATTGCGGGGGCACAGGGGCAGTCCTGCTGGGTGGGAGGGGGCCCGGAGCCCAGCAGGTCTTCAGGAAATGTTCTGTCTTCTCCCCTTCAGCTACCTGTACTCCCCCAGGAAATTCACTTAATGTGTTTGAGACCCAGCTTCCTCACCAGTTAAATGGCGGTAATAACACTGCCTCGTGCACGTCCCATGGATGTGCCCTCAAAGGAAACTGTGTGTGGCTGTTCCATGGGACGCTGCTCTAAATCAGCTGCTCCCATTCCTGGCTGCACCGGGACTCGTAATTGCTAGTGGATAATGGAAAAGAGAGGACAATAAAATGATTTTCTTTTAGTTTTAAATAGTAATTTCTAGTTGACTTTGAAACAATTTCATTTTTTTTTAAATCCAGGAAATTCACTGTTATAGTTAGCTTGCCTTGTCTGAGTTCCTAGATGGACTGGCGTCCAAAGGGATTTAGAATGACCAAAAAATCAAACAGAAAAGGAAGGAAGGAAGGAAGGAAGGAAGGAAGGAAGTGAGGGAGGGAGGGAGGGAGGGAAGGAGGGAGTAAACCCGTAAGAGTCCTTGAGTAAGGTTTGAGACTGCATCCTGCTAAGATGTGGAAATGTGTACATTTTCTTTAAGTCATAGAGTGTTTAATATACTGTCTCCTTCAAAGGGCAGGGGTGACTGTACCTTCCCCCACCCCACACACTCCCCATCTCTGTGAAGGAACAAATGAATGCAGCCAGATGGCCCTCCTCCTCTGGCTTGCCCTCCATGGGCACCGCCTGCCACCTGTCTCCCCAGGCAGCTCCTGGTGGTGTGGTACTCCCAGACACTGCACTGAGGGCGCACACAGGGCAAGGGAGTAGCCCAGGCCTCTCCAGCTGACCAGGTGGAGAGCAGGCAGACATGGCCTTGGCGTCAGATTTCAAGGGTTGCAGCTTTGGCTGTGCCACCTTGCAGTGCGACCTCTGGCAGCTTGCAATTCTCTCCATGCCTCAGGTTCGTCACTTCCGTCAAACGGCAAACACTGATCGTGGGGTGGCAGGATTGAGGGGAGGCCTGCAGGGGAGGCACTGGGAGGATGTTTGTTCTGCATTGGGTAATGATACTTGGGTGTATCTGCCTCTTTCCCAGGGCTGGCCTCAGGGAAGACAGGTTGAGCACCTGTTCAGATCTGATTTTCAGGGAGCCAGGTTTACATTCTGACCCTGAGGGCCCCATCAATTAGGGAGCCTGGGGGCAGTGGGTCCAAGTTAGGGGGAAGCATTTGGGTGCCCAAGGTACATGCAAACGTCCTCAGTGGTGCCTTTGGGACACGGCTTCAGCACACCCCTTACATTCTCCGTCTCAGTTCCTCTGATAAGAATCTGATTTGGAAGCTCCCAGACACCTGACAACCGAGGCCCCATCCACTTAGCCGTTGAGGTCTTGCTGCTGTACCCCTAAAGTGGAGCAAGTCTAGAAACCACAGTTGTAGAGTGCACATGCCTTCTTCAAGAGAGTCCTATGACTCCCTTCGGTCACAGGGCTGTTCTTGGCAGAGCTGATTCTAGAAAGTCCTACGGCACCATGCTGTCTCTTGGCAGGAGCTCTTTGCCATTCCCTGCATTGATGGGGTTGCTGTGTATCTCAGGCAAGGCACACTACATGCTGCTCCAAAGTCGCAGTGGCCTCCAGCTGTGGAAGTTTGTGCTTGCCCACACAGCCGCCCTCATGTGTTTCTGAACAGCAGGTGGCATGTACTGTCCCATAAATACTTGGGAACTGAGTTCTTCCATTCTGTGGTTCCCAGATCACCAAAGGCCTTGCCATCTCTTCCTGTAGGTGGCAGGAGGAGAAAGAGAGCTGGAGGGATGGGCACGGATACTTTTTTTTTTTTTTAAAGATTTATTTATTTACTTGAACATCAGAGTTACACAGAGAGAGGAGAGACAAAGAGAGAGAGAAATGTCTTCCATCAGCTGGTTCATCCCCCAGATGACTGCAGAACTACACTGATCTGAAGTCAGGAGCCAGGAGCTTCTTCCAGGTCTCCC